TGTGTGTGTGTGTGTGTATATGCAAATACGTGGTGTGGTGTTCTGGGTTAATGCACTGGACTGCAAAGTCGGTTTTAACCACAAGTTTGGTGGATCGAGATCACCAGCCTCCTTGAAAACCTTATGCAGTGCCGCTACGGGTCAGAAGTGACTCGACAGCACTTAACAACAAGAATATATTATATACTAGTGTGACATTGTAGGATCAGCACTGAACTACGAACCACAAGGTCAGCAGTTAAAACCCACCAGCGGCTCCTTGGAGACCCTATACAGGGTTCTATGAGTCGGATCTGACTCCACGGCAAACCACCACCACCACCACCATCACCATATATGTATGCGTATCTATCTATTATGTATATATGTATATGTACATAAATATATACATACACACACACGTGTGTGTGTGTGTGTGTGTGTGTGTGTGTGTGTAGATGTGAGGGGGCAAAGAAGCTGGCAATATATCAGGCACTTTCCCCAACAACCCTCTGATATTCTACAAAGGAGGCCACCCAGTCAAAAACAAGAAAACCTGTTTGGTCAGGTCTTAAGCCCAAACTTCCTCAGATACACCATGCTCCGTGGGTGGATCTTTCTCTGTTCTAGATTCAGTAAATGGGAACTGGGGCTGCTGGTCTTCCTGGAGCACATGTGATGTTACATATAAGAGACTGAGAACCCGAGAATGTAATAACCCTGCCCCTCAACAAGGAGGGAAACTGTGCGATGGGGAACAGCGACAAGAGGAAGACTGTATGTTTTCAATAATGGAAAACAAGTAAGAATGAGATATTTTCTCCTACTACTATAGAGTCAAAATATGTATTACTACTAAGAAAGGAATAATTAGAATTTTACCTATTCCAACACAGCATATTAAATGATGAGGTATTGTGTCTACAGCTACTTCTTTCTATGTAATATTTTCTGTTTAAATATATATACATATTTCTACATTTATATTTCTACATATATACATACACACATAAATATCTCTGTACATACACACATTTATTTTCCCTTTTAGTGGACAACCATGTATCAGTGATGATGAAGAAATGAAAGAGGTAGATCTTCCAGAGACAGAGTCAGACTCAGGGTGTCTTCAGCCTATTCCTCCAGAAAATGGATTTATCCAAGTAAGTGTCTTGACCTTCCCTTTAGGTTTTGTCATTGTTGTTAGGTGTCATCAAGTTGATTCTGATTTATAGAAGGTCCGTGTGACAGAATAGAACTGCCCCATACATTAGTTTTAGGTTGTATTCTTTATGGGAAGGATCCCTGGTAGTGTACTGGATTATGAGCTGGTCTACTAATTACAAAGCCAGCAGTTCCAATCTACCAGTAGCTCAATGGGAAAAAGATGAGGCTTTCTGCTCCTGTAAAGAGTTACAGCCTCAGAAACCATATACAGGGTTGCTATGAGTTGGAGTACAAATCACCGCATCTTTAACTCACAGAGCAGCTAAATGGGTTCAAAATGTCAACCTTTCACTTAGCACCTGAGCACTTAACCAGTGTAGCCCAGAATCTTCTCTGGGTGTAGAGTTCAAAAATAGAATTTCAGAGTGTAAATTTTTTTTAATGAGAGCAATTGTTTTCCTGTTTAATAATCTATTGATTCAAAATGTTAAAAAAAAAAAAAAAAAACTAATAATAATTAGAAATGCTTTGTCACCCTTCACTGGAGCTATCTTCACACCTGGTGGTAAAGCCAAAGAATAGCAGGTCCCATGACACTACTGGTGTGGTGCTATAGGATATGCACTCAACATAGAAGTCCGCTTGAACTGCAATATAACATAATATAGGTTTGGATGATTGGTAAGAATCTGCAAGTAAAATCTAACTGCTTGTTTCTGAGTTTGAGAAAACTAGCCCCTAACTAAGTCATGTTAAAAAAAGAGACAAACTACTCCTTGCTACAGTAGTAGGAGGTGTTGAGTCTATAATGCTTCATTGGGTTAGAAACCTGCAGAGATGTTAAGCAGTCAAAACAATTTTAACGTACTTTGCAAATTATCCTAATCTCTTTCCATTAAGCTCAATATGTTTCTATGATTTAAAAAGAAAAAAACAAAAAACTGCATAGTTAAAATTGTCAGACAGCTTTAGCTATAAATATTCCAAGAGATATATTTTAAATTGATCACAGAAGGTATGTTCTTTGATCATTTTTACCTTTCTTAACTTCAGTGAACTCTTTAATCATTTTAACAACTGCATCATGTTCACAATCAGAAAGCAATTAAGCCTTTATTCTCTAAACACAGCAAATAAATATCCATAGAATGCAGTCAGTTAATGTGTCTGCCTTGATCATTTGTCTTCTGCCCTTGCCTAAAGGTACCATGCCTAAACATTTTATGAAGAGGAAATATTTTGGAGAAAGACAATTTCAATTAATCTTTGTTCTAAATTGGAGGTGCTCAAACTCTAGAATGAAAAAAAAAAAAAAAAAAGTCAACAACTTGACAAAACAAAGATTACTGGGTCTCGCTTTCAGAGTTCCTGACGCAATCAATCTTTGTGGGGCCCAGGAATTTCTATATCTGATTAGTTTTCAGGTGGTATTGGTGCTACTCGTTTAGGACTCACATTTATAGAATCAATAATCAGAAACAGGGGTGAATGATTATGACCCATGGGTCAAATTCAACTCATCACATGCTTTTCTTTTTTTAAAGGTTTTATTGTGTCTGTTTATGCCTGCATCTACCTGACCTCCTCACCACCTGGATCTATAAAACTGTTACCTTCTTTTGTTTTGTATTTGTCTTGATCATGGACTGATCTCCTAGATCCCCTAATTGCATTCTTGTAGTTTTCTTCAGCTCTGAGCTCCTCCATCTCTGGACTGAATTCAGGGTGGTGTTGCCACATATGTCAATCTCTTGTTGGTTCTCATCCAAAAAAGTCCCTTTAGTGTGTTTTGAAGCACTGGCTTGGCTTTTACAAAAATCCCTTAATTTCTGTTAATCCTGAAATGTTCTGATTTCACCATCGTTTTAGAGTGACAGTTTTGCCGGGCATATGATTCTTGGTTGGCTGTTATTTTTTTTTTTTTTTTTTTTTGTTTTTTTTTTTCCTTTCTTTCAGTTTTGTATATGTCTTCCCATTGCCCGCTTACCTGCATGGTTTCTGATGCGAAATCAGAGATTAATCTTATTGGCTTTCATTTGTAAGTAATAATTCTTTTTTTCCTAGATGAGTTCAGGATTCTTTAGTTGTCTTTGATTTTGGAGAGTTTGATTATGATATGTCATGGTGATTTTCTTTTGGGGGTCTAACCTACCTGGGGTTTGTTAAGCTTCTCAAATGTGTATCTTCTCATCTTTCAATATGTTAGGGAAATTTTCTTCCAGCAGCCCTTCAGCTGTCTCTTCTGGATTTTTTTTTTTTTTTTTTTTGGTCTTTTCCTGTTCTAGAATTTCAATCACCCATATGTTTTTCCTCTTCAAGTTGTCCTACATGGGTCTTAGGTTTTCTTCAGATTTTTTTCATTCTTTTCTCTGCTTATTCTTTTATCTTAGCAGTATTGAGAGATTTGTCTTTAAGTTTTCTGATTCTGGCTTCCATCCCTTCAATTCTACCCCTTTATCCTTTCAATGTATAGTTCAGTTCTGATATTTTAGTGTGGATAATCTGGACTTTTTTTTCAGGTTTTGTGTTGTCTTCAATGCTATATCTATTTTGTTTTTTCCTGTAGTGCTTTTCTGATTTCTTTCTTATTTTCCTTGACCTTTCCTCGAACATTTTGATGCACCTCAATATCATTCTCCTAAATTATTTGTCAGCTAATTCCACAGCCTTCTTTGCCTCCAAAGCATTACTAGTATTTGTTTGAACTATTCTGTCTTGTTTCTAAATGTGAGAAGGTATTTTCTGCTGCTTTTTAGGCATTGTGGTGTTGCTGTACTTCAATTAATTAGATGATTGTTTGTTGGTATATTCTTAAGCACTCTCCAATTACCTCCTATAAGGCGTGATCAGGAGATGGGCTTCTCTTTTTAATGGTCTTACAGCTCAATTCAGAATGTTTTTAGTTGGTGTTGGTTGTAGATGCTGCTCTGGTGTATAGAAGCTGGCATTGGCTCTTGCCCAAATGGTGGAACAATTGAAGCTTGGCTGTGTGGCTGCAGTTGTTGTCTCTTGTCTGGTGATGCAAGAAGAGAAAGAGCTCCCACAAGAAAGAAAGAAGGAAGATAGAAAAAAACAAGACTGAAAAGGAAAGCCAAAAGTCATAACACACACATACACACAATATTATGTGTGTGTATATGTGTGTACCTGGACCAAGAGGCAGTTGTCCGAACAGAGCATGGGAACACTGAATGTTTTAAACTTCAGAAAGGTGCACAACAAGGTTGTATTCTTTCACCATACTCATTCAATCTGTATGCTGAGCAAATAATCTGAGAAGCTGGGTTCTATGAAGAAAAATTTGGCATCAGGATTGGAGGAAGATTCATTAACAACCTGTGATATGCAGATGATACAACCTTACTTGCTGAAAGTGAAGAGGACTT